CAGAGGAAAATGTCCCTCTTGTTTGTGGACGATTCCTGATGAACACAAGGACCCTCACCTGCTGACTCATGCACTCAGAATCCTTCTTAGGCCTTCGAGACAGTCCTGTTGGCTGTTAGCCCCGGTTTCAGCTCAGATGTGCGTGCGCTGTTAGCTATGGAGGGCTGCGTGCTAATGGCATCTGAGGGCATTCAATTAGCACATTTCAGGTCTCTCTGGTCATAGACACCTCATAATTTCTTTACTAATGCAGCTGGATCTTTCTCTTTTTCCAAATCATTAGACATCCCTTCCATGTTACTTTCCACTTTCCACCCTGTAGTGGATAAGATTCTATTTTAATACCATCTCGACACATCTCTGTGTTAGGGTAATTCAGGGAGAAACCAGGTGCTGACTTATTTTTTATTTTTTTTTTAAGAAAAGTGTGGGGATTTTTTTTAATCACACTAAGACATTGATCCTGCTTCCTATCTCTACGTGAATCCAAGTATGAAGCCTTGGTGTTAATAAATAGGTATGACGAAGGCTGTGTCTGGAGGTGGCAACTGAGTCTGGGAAGATGGGGAGGAGGAAAGGGTGGGAAAGAGAGAAGACTCCTCACATTCATGCCTGCAGAATAGAAGGTAAGAGCCACACCTTTTGGGAAAAAAGCAGAGGTAGTGAATTCGTCATTTTGTTGTAAATCCTTATATCTAAGGAAGGAGGAGCACAAGAGGGGCAAAGGTGAGGCTGGTGATGAGTCCTCAGAAGTCAGGTGAGCTCGTTTCAGGGCTTCTCAAGCTTTAATGTGCACAGGAACCCTCAGGGAATTTTATTAAACATGCAGATTCTCATTCGTTAGGTCAGGGTGGGGTCTGAGTGTACGCATTTCTAACAAGCTCCACCACGATGCTGCTGCTGCTGGCCCAAGACCACACTTTGAGATGCAAGGCTCTGTCAGTTGCATCTAGGGCCCCGATTCTCAGCCTTGGGTTCCCAATAGAGTTATCAGAAAGCTTTAAAAACAACAACAACAACAACAACAAAAACCAATGCCCAGGCCTTACCCTAGACCTATTAAATCAGAAATCCATGGTAGGGGACTCACACATTAGTAATTTTGAAAGCTTCTTCAATGATTCAGTGTTTCACTTTTTTTGCAGAATGTTCTATAATCGGATGCATACAGTATGTAACCTTTTCAGATTGGCTTCTTTCACTTAGTAATGTGTATTCAAGTTTCCTTCCTATCTTTTTATGGCTTCCCAACACAGTTATTTTGATGGCTGAATAATAGCCCATTGTCTGGATGTACCACAGATTAATTATCCATTCACCTTCATTTGAATCTTTGTCTGCTTCTTGCTTATTTCCAAGCTTTGGCAATCATTAATAAGACTGCTATAAACATCTGTATGTGGATGTTTGTGGATGTAAGTTTTCAAATTGTTTAGGTAAATAATAAGGAGTGCTATTGCAGGATTGATTACACATGATAAGAGCATGTTTAGTTTAGTAAGAAACTGCCCAACTGTTTTCCAACATGTCTGTATCATCTTGCATTCCCACTAGCTATGGGAATGTGTTGCTCCACATCCTCACCAGCACTTCGTGTTGTTGGTTTTTGGATTTTTGCCATTTTAATAGGTGTGTAGTGATATCTCATTGTTTTCCTTTGCATTTCCCTGGTGACACATGGTGTTGAGCATCTTTTCATATGCTTATTTGCCATCTGTATATCTTCATCGTACACATATATAAGAACAAGGTCATCATCCCAGGTGGAGCAGTCCTCAACCAGTGAGTGACAGGAATTGACATATAAATGCTGCAGTTTCCTCAGCCTTGGGTCAGTAACTCTGAACATGTGCTCTACTCTATTACCCAGACTTTTCCCATGGGATTAAGGCCTAGTTGATCACAGGGATAACTAGCCTATAATGTACCATTTAGTCCTGCCTTTCATTCTCTCTCTCTCTTCCCCTCTCCTCTTTTGGTGTTTCCTACCCCTTCCCAATAGACTAGCTTCATTTGAATCCTTGTCTGCTTCTGAGGATAACAGAAATGGTCAGATGGGTCTAGGAGAATCCCACAACAGCAAGGTTAGCAGTCTACTTCCATAGACACAGCTGAGGTCTTAGGAAGAACCACACATTCATCTCTGCACCACGTCCTCATGGAAAGAGAATGAAAGTACACCATTACTGACAGAGGAACTGGAGAGAGAAGCATGAGAAAGTGGGCTTGCTTTGCCTGGCCTGTACCTGGCATGCAGGGTATCCTGATGTGGGGACACAAAGGTTCAGAGGCTGGAAGTGGACTGGAATACACCTTGGGACGATTTGAATGTGCATGTGTAAGGAATTCATAAACAGGGCTCATCAAGAAGCTCCTAATGGCCAGTTAGGATGTGGTTGCTCTCCAGTGCATGCAACCGGCCTGACCAAGGTAGAGTCCTGCGGAGATCCAGAAGTTACCACATGGGTGTGGAGTCCCCAGTCTCCACTGATACTGACATAGGAGATACACCATCTGCAGAAGGACCAAAGGAAAGCAAGGAAATCTAGAAGACTGAACATATATCTGAGAGACACCCCATATCCAAACAGACCCGAAACTGGAAGAGAATAAAAGACAATTTGGCAAGTCTGAGGTTTAAGGTGGTTTCCCCATGGGAGGAACATGGAGAAGATCTAATCATCTATAAATAAAGAAGCTGGAGTTTCTTTGTACATCTGAGAAGCAGTGTGAGAAAATACAGAACCCACTACATACAGATTAGAGGTAATGAATATGAAGCATCAAACCAAGCACCTGGCCCAAGGTAAGAGCTCCAGAGTTGGTAGCTGCTGTCACTGACATCACACCTGATGATCTGAGTGGCCTTTGTTGTAATAAGAACTGGTAGGCAGTCTAGGGTGAGCAGAAGGAATCCCCTCTTCGTTCTAATGCTGCTCTTTCAAGAAACCTATCCTAGAAGTTTAATGTTCAGGATTCTAAATAATGGTTCTTTAATTAGACAGAGCCCTAGATTGGTTCTGGGGCATTAGTTGGTTGAAAATATGAGGCAAGTCTGTTCCAAATCTAAGAGTTTGGTTTGATTAACTAGTATTGAAGAGTTTGTGTTAGAACTCACTTATATTGAAAAACTGATATTCAAATGACCTAAGCCAGCCTAAGCCTGCAGCAGGAGTGAACACTGAGACCACTTGCTATTTCTCCCAGTAGTTTTAAATTCAGCCCCACAGGAGTCAGAAAACAACAACCACAAAGGCCATAATATGCAACTGAAAGATTTCTGTCTGTCCAGTTTCTTGCCTTCTTCTTGCCACTGAAGGCAGATTAAAAAAGCATCACTCTCTTTGACATATGCAGAGCCCAGTCACCTTGCCATTCAGATTCAAAGGGGGCCAAAGAAAAGCGAGGGAGGGATGGGCTGATGGGACATTTGCATATACATTTCCATTAGGGTTAAAGACATTTAAATCAACATTACCCTGGACCACAGAAGGATGAATGCACTATTGTGGACGAGGCCTGCCGCATTTGGGCAGGTTCAAGTCTTGCTCTGGGTGTAATATTTTGTGACTCATTTTTCCTCAAGCATAGAGTAATAGGCTTTAACTTTGCTAAGCTTTTCTGCCAGCCCTTCGCCCCCTGCTGTTCCATTATATTGAACTTGTAAGCAGGACGCTCTGTGCGGCTCACCCAGATTACCGCAGCAATACGGCCCGCTGAGGGGCTGGTGTCAGGATAAGTGTTAGGGAGGGAGCTCCCCATCTTGGCATGCTGTTCTCATCTTATTAAATTCAGCTTTGTGGAAGCAGGGAGCCTGCGTCGCAGTCACACTGGCTCAAACCTGATCCAACTGCTACTGTCAGACAATATGAAAATAGGAACCACCACAGCTAATGGCAGGTGCTGCTTCTCAGCTGAAAAAAAAAAAAAGTCTAGGGTTTTTTATTATTATGATTTCATGAGCCTGTGTGTGTTCTTTTACTCTTTTAGACACTTTACTGGATGGAAAGCCTGAGTCAGAAAGCCTCATGCTTTTGAAAAATGAAACAAGTGTCCAGGCTGTCGGCAGTGGTGGGTGCATATATGTTGGGGAGTCCACCTTAGAAGATTGCTTTTGTCTGCATTCTCTGCTGTAGGTTCCAGTGGACCTCAAGGAAGTTCTTGTTCAATTTGAAAAAAATAAATAGAAAGCATTCTCAAGTCTCTGGGAGTTGGGAGTGTTAATTCTTCGACATGAAATAATTGAAGGCGTGTATTTTAATGTAACAAGGTGGTGAGTCTCTGGTTAGAGATGTGAAGCCATGGAACAAAATGAAAAACCCAGCTCTGAAGATAAACCATTGTGTGGGTATGAGAGTCTCCATCTTCCCTCTAAATTTCTGCCTTAATGTATATTTTGGTTACATATTGCTGCAGAACAAACCACTACAATATTTAGTGGCATAGAAAGACAGCCATTTTACTGTTCTGTATATTCTGTGGTTGTCATTCTGAGAGTGGATATTCAAATGAACTAAGCCAGCCTAAGCCTCAACAAGGACTGAACTCAGAGATCACTTCCATGCTGTATCTCCCACTGGTTTCATTTTTATCTTTTGAGGACTTAACAGTCAGTTTTATTGGGCTCAGACCAGGACTCCATGAGTCTTGATGACCTTTGTGTATCTGTCAGTTTTCTTCTCCACATTCTTTAGTCTGTTTCTGTAGCCTCGTGAAGCTGCCCCCACCCCACACCAGTGACCTTCTCCTTCATCTTCTCTAGAGTGGCTGTGACTGTCTGGTACTTACAGCCAACTTCAAGAGCCAGGTACCCCAGGTAGGCCAACGGGCATGGGGAATGAAGTTATAAAGAAATTGAAGTCCGGATTGGGAGAGAGTGGCCACAAGAGAGGGGTTGATAACCCACCTTAGAGGATCCTGAAAATTGAATAATCCATTTTTTTTTTATCACCAAGCTTAAATCAGAAGACATGTCCACCCCCTCTAAGGGCTTTGTGCTTCTCCGGGCATCAGCTAAGCCACTGATATTATTGACACTCTCCCCAAGGACGTCCACAGACTACAATGAGAAAAAGCCATCATCCTCTCTCCCATTCGTTTTAAATAGATTTTGTTAGATGATTCTTCTACTGGTCTCACTTAGGGTCTTTCTGTAGCTGTTGTCAGGTTGTGGGTGGGGCTCAAGCATCTATGATTCTTCGTTCACAAGTCTAACTGGCACTTTGGCAAGGATACCCAAGCCTGGGTCCTCAGCTGGTGGGGGCAGAGGGTAGGGTTGCTGGTTCTCTCTTTCTGTCCTTCAGCTGATCTCTCCTCCATGTTGTCTGTCCAGCAAAGTAGCTGAACATCTTTCTTACGTTGTGGCTCAAAGTTGCTAGGCCTTCTTATAGGCTTAGGGCGTAGAACTGTGCTAGTGTCATTTCCTTGCATTCTCTAGTTGAAGGGAGTCACAGGCCCAGCCCAGATTCAGGCTTTGAGAGGACTATACAAGGGAAGGAAGACTAAGTGTTGCTGTTCATTGGATACCGTCTTTGGACACCAGCTAATGGATCATGTTACATACTTTGATCTTCAACCTTCAACTACATCTAAGAATGTCATCAATCCTGCATGATAGGCCTTATTTGCATGAGTAATTTAGTCAGTTCTATAATTTTTACTGAATGTAAGTTCTCACTTTCTTGGTTTAGCTCTCTATGAAATAGAATCCCCATTACAGTAAAAAGTTCATTTTAAGATAGTTGAGACTCCAGTTAGTTAAGGTGTGTGATTGGATAGAGCGTGTGAGGAGCGGAGTATGGAAGCCAAGTCACTAAGTGCTTGAGCCAGGATGAAGCTATGGATGTATCTTTTGAGCATCTTTCTTAAAAAGTAACATTGAGTTTATCAGGCTTAATAATCCAGAAATCTGAAATAGGGAGATTTTTGGAACACAGTGACCAATTGTGGTCCTTTTGTTTGTCTTCAAATCTAATTTCTCTTCTTTAAAATATTTTACTGCTATAAGGAGTGGTGTCTGATACAAAAATAAAATCAAAACCAACCAAAATAATAATTATATTAAAGAGATATTTCCTCGGCGCTTGTTGAATCTGGGAATGAATGTCGCTAGCAGTCTAAACATCAAAGACAAAATGAATTTTGAAATGTGCTGTGCAGCCTAACCCTACTTATTTACTGGTTCTCACCTCCTTAATAATCCACAAACTCAGTATTTCTCACCGAAGACCCAGCAGTCTCACCCGCTTCCCCACCCAGCTTTCATAGCCAAGAGCTGTAATGAGGTCTCCTGCAAGTGCAACTCCCATTATGTTTACCAAATATGTTATGGTATCTTTACTGAAACATTCTCGTCAACAGTGTGTGTCTCTCTGGGCACAGTTTACAGGGTGATTCTGTAAGCTTACATCACTTTTCTTTTTTTTTCTTTTTCAATTATCCTCCCTCCCAAGAAATGTGCTAATCTGTACTGGGCCTCCTTGTCATTGGTGTGAATTATCTGAGTTTTACTGTTTCCAAAAGCATTTTGCATATTCATACAATGTTATCACTCAAATGTACAATATTAACCCAGAGTGAGTTTCAAGCCAAAAGTAATTAATTCTGTTTCAGATAAATCAATTAGAATTGGAATAGCAACTCTATGCTGGTTTTTGTCTTACTACTTCTAGAGAAGTATAGGCAATATTCAGTGGACTAGTAATTACGTTAGATCCTTTACTAAGTCATACATTTTCTGATTTACCTGAATTCTAATGTTAGTCATGAGTACACAGAGATGAGGGCATATCTACTTCAAGAAAATTCAATACAAAAAGTCAAGCTTATGAAGGATTTAAATTATGAGACATTATTTGCATTACAAATTAATTATTGGCTTCACAGAAACTTGGTAATTTATTAGTGATTTGACCAAAGAGGCTGAGAGGTTCATTTAAACAATGAGTCAGAAACTTTGTCTTAGAAAAAATTATAGTAAATATTTAGGCTTTGTGGATCAGATGGTTTCTATCACAGTTACTCAACTTTGCCTTTGTAGGGTATGTATGGAGCAAAACCCACCATAGATGATTAAATAAATGAACAATCATAGTTATATGTTCCAATAAAACTGCATTAGTGAACACTAAATTTAAACTTCATATAATTTTATTATGTCATGAAATAGTTTTATGATTCAGCACATGAATTACAGTGGGCTGACCCCTGATGTAGAGTACTGTGAGCAAGTTTCAACTGGCACTCAGAATGAAATTCAGGTAGAATGATTGATATCACAGTGTGTTAAAAAAAAAAAGAAAAGAAAAGGAATCAACATAGGGCATTCATTTATAGTGTAGCATTAATTGCTGGAAGCTTTGGCAGTGTAGTGCAAATGTGGGAAAACAGGCAAAGAGAGGTTCTGTGACACACTCCAGGACACTGGGAGACACAGCCTGTAAGCGACCTCATGCCTAATGCTCTTTAACAGTATCTGTGTCTTGTCTTCTATTTGCTCAGGGCTCACACTGAGGAGTTGATGGGGTTTTGAACAGTTTCAGCCTCATCATTTTCCAACTTACCTGTCTGCTATAAACAATAAAGATTTTAGTCGTGGTGGCTCAGAACACAAAAACAGATTCCCGGGTCTCACCTCCATAGATTTGGACCGCAAGTTGTGGGATGGGGCCTTGAAATCTGCATATTTAACAAAGCACCTAGAATATTTTGATGAAGTCCTACAACTTGTGGGCAAAGTCTTGTTTTCTTTTCTAGTCCAACTCTGACTTTTGTCTTTTCTTAGACCGTCTTCCACCTGCTGCTCCTTCTCATTCCACGGTCTAAAGGACTCAGCTGTGGATGGGGTTTGGCTGTTTGGGGGTGGGTGGGGGTGGGGACAGCTTATGAAAGAGAAACTCCATGTATCCTTATCCCCTACTGCAGCCAAAGTAATCTTTTCAGTATGCCACACTGCCCATGTTGATACCTGGCCACATCTTACTCCCTTGATATTCTTTGCACTTGGGATCAAGGTAAACTGCTCAACAAGGCCTGCCCAGTTTGGTTCCTTATCCCACCCACATTTTCAACCTGACCTCGGTCTCAGGCACACTGACCACCTTTTATTCTCACATCCTCTCAATGCCTCTTCTTGCCACAGGGACTTCCACTTGCAGTTCCTTCTGCCTATTCCACTCTGCCTCCTCCCTCTCCTGGTCCTGTCTGCTCAGGCGTCCTGTTTCGCTTCAAGGGACATTTCCTCATGAAAGCTCCTGTAAAGTATTCTTTTCAAGTAGCACTTGTCCCAGGAGCAATTTTACATTTGCTTTTGTGATCATTTGACAGAGGCCTGACTCTTCCACTGGGCTATGAGCTCCATAAGTCAGGACTCAAGCTCCTACTTGGCTCACATTTGTGTCTTCCATACCCAGCGTATTGCCTGGATCGATAGCTACGTGTTGAATGAACGAACAAGAGAATGAATGAGAGGACACTGGGGGTTGTGTACTATGCTCCAGGCAGTTAGAAAGGCTGAGTAAGCATTCTGTGGCTGTAAGAGACACCACGCCTCCCAGGTGAAGCCAATGGCGAGAAATCAAAGAGGGCTTCATGCCATCCCCCTACACCCTGAGTGTGAGAAGGTTGGTCCCCAAACCAGGACGATGCCACAGTTGAAAATAGCACCACTACCAAAACCAGAAGGGAGAGGGGCAGTGGCCCCAAGCACAGCTGACCAATATAGAGGAGAATAAATGTGAAGGAGGAGGGATTTCTGAAGAATGAGGATTATAACAAAACTGTTGTTTCCAAATGCCAAAGGGGCGATAGGGAATGAGAGAGCCCAGACTTTATGTGTTAAATTTGTATGACAGGAAATGTTGGTTGGTATATACATTTTTGGCAGAAGTTGAGTTTAAGGGTTCAGACGTGCTCTACCAAATTCTAGTGGGGAAAATTAAAGAATGATGCGTGGCCTGGCGTCTGCTTAAATGCCTAATTTTAGAATCTCAACTTTTTACCATTAGGCACAATTACATTTGCGTATACTCTAAAAACATGTATAGACTTGTTTTTTTATTTAGTATTGTCACTAAGCTTACATGACTAGTAGGGAATTGTCATTTATTTCATTTTTTTAAAATCTTGATTTTGAATATTATCCAATGAACAAAATACAGTTAAATTACATTTGTCACAATTTTAATTTTTTCTAGGAAATAAATCATTTTCTTTGTGTTTATCACATAGTAGGTGCTCGATAATGTTTATTAAGTGCATGATTAAAATACTATGCTCTTTGCTTATGAACAGAAAGTCATCCTTTGGCTGGAGCTTAAAGCTCCATTTCACAAACTCAGAGAAGCACGCGTGTGGGACAAAAGCACTAGTCTCCATTTATCTTTTTATCCCACATAGAGTTTCTCTAAATAGTGCAGGTATCTATTCTGTCCCTAAGGAATTTTTAAGGTCCAATGTGCTATGGTCCCCCAGAGTAGCAAACCACCCCAAACCTGGCACCCCGAAGCCACAATACTCAATCAGTTCATATTTCTGTGGGTTGGCCGTTTGGCCTAGGCTCAGCCGAGGGATTCTTCTGGGCTCAGCCGGGCTCACTGGAATCGAACCCATGACCTCTTGGGCATGGGACAGTGCTCAGTCCACTGAGCCACACCGGCCGGGTTCCTTAAGCTCTCTTCGGAAATATGTTTGAACCTTGTCGGTGTGGCTCAGTAGATTGTCATCCGGTGAACTGAGAGGTTTGATTCCCAGTCAGGGCACATGCCCGGGTTGTAGGCTTGATCCTCAGTGAGGGGCGTGCAGGAGGCAGCTGATCGATGTTTCTCTCTCACATCGATGTTTCTATCTCTCTCTAAAAAATTGATAAAAATATTTTTTAAAAAGAAATATGTTTGGCCCTGGCTGGTTTGGCTCAGCGGTTGTAGTGTTGGCCTATGGACCAGAGAGTCCCTGGTTCAGTTCCCTCTGGGGCCATGTACCAAAATAAATAGATAAATAAATAAAATAAATACAATAAAAAGAAATATGTTTGATACCTTTATAGTCTGAAAAATAAATCCCTGAGAATGAAGATCGTTATATTGACTAG